GAGGGAGAGGGGTCCCGCGGGCCTGCCCCCTCGCAGGCGCCCGACGGTGCCGTTGCCACTGCCGGAGAAAGTTTTAGGCAAATAAACGCGAAAACGCTCCAGTTTGTTCCTTCCAGCATCGTGCGCGTTACTCCTCCGTGGTGTTTCGTTCCAGAGTCTCCGAAGGGATGGGTGGTGCTCATAACATTTACCTGTTTTTTGTTCTTGTTTTGTTTTAAAAAAGGAGCAGTAGGTGGCATTGCGTTGGCAAGGTGAAGGCTTTTGGTTGCAGGGAGATTTTTCTCGTGTTTTTTTAAGATTTCTATTAAAAAAACCCAAAACCCGCACATTTTAGGCCTTGACTGTTCAGTAACATCCCAGTGGTTCAAGAATGAGCGTTTTATTACCAAAACTTGTAAGGCTGGAAAGTTAGTATGTGTAAATATGGTTGTCTAATAGGAGCTGGAGTGTTTCATGTAGAGGCAAACTGTTGAGCCTGATGGTCTGTGAGGATCCTGCATGAGGAGCTGCTGGGTTCAGCTGTATCCTCCTTGGAGCCAGCAGCACTGTCCAGGGAGGTGTCCAAGGGCAGGGCAAGCACATAACCACCCTTTCCCAGCACATCGTCTGGCCTCTAGAGACTTAGGGTTCAGGGTCTTCTGAAGAAGAATTTGTTTCTTGTTGATTTTTAGTTTGTTCTGACCATGATAATATAATTTGTTACCTACTTCTTCCCTTCGTGTTGGGAAAGATGATAATCATTCTTACGAACAATGATGTACACAGCTTTACAGACTTCTGTTGCACCCCTTTGTTGTTTTCAAGTTGAGGAGGCTTCATGGTTCCCCACATGGAAGCTGTGGCATTCCTTTGGTTAGCCTTCTTGTCTTGCTTGGTAGCTTTTTAAAGAGTTATACTTGTATAATATAATTGTGTAATATATATATACACACACTATATATACATGGCTCTGACCTATCTTGTGTCATGTGTAGTATTTTACACTCTTCTACTTTGCAGTTTATCATCCAGTATTTCAGTGTTGTGAAGTTCTTTCACAATCACAAAGCTGCGATTCTTTGCAGTCAGTCCCTGTCCTTACTGCCTTACCTGAGAGTAACTTCATCATCAAACTTCACCAGTTCCTTTTTCACCATCTTTTCCACACCATTCTTATCAGCGCTTTGGTGACCATTTCTTTCCTGATTCCTTGCAAGATAACTTTTAAAAAATACTTCAGAGTATATTTAATTTGTCTTTTTTGAAACATAACTGCACCAAAATATTGTAATTTATATAGCACTTTATGTAAGTGTTACATATTCTCTTATATGTTTGGGAAGCACAGATTACAAGTAGCAAGGGAATACTCCAAGGTGAATTGAAGTTGTTGGTATCTGTGGACTTTGGCTCATGTCATGAAAGTATTGACTGGGATCCCCGTTCAACAAATACTTAGTTATTATGTCTATTCCCATTTATTTTATCGTATTATTTTGCTAAGAAATATTAAGCACATTCACAAGTGCTCACAGTACTAGAGGCTTAGAAAGCCATGGAAACTTGAAGGAATGGTGATTAATAAAGGAGAATTTTGTGGTAGTAAAGTGTGGAAGTCTCTTAACAGCTGGTTCCCTGATTGTTGGCGTTTATCTTCCCAACCTTCATAAAATGCAAATTTAGGTATTTGGGATGTTTCTTTATGGTGACTTTCAAAAGTTACCCTTTGAAGGGTCTGAATCCTGCTTTTCATCTAGTGGAAGTTATGAAGTTCAGAGTAGGATGTAACGTTCAGAAGTCAAAAGCAAAGGCACCTGATTAGTCATGTCACTTGAAAAACTGTGTGTTGTATCTGTTCCAAGTAGCCAGTCTTTCTTCCACAGGTGATTAATGCAAGTTTTAAAAATTGCTTAACTTTTTTGTTATTAAATGTAGTGTTTGCAAATGAGATATGAAGCAATAATAGATCATTTCCCAGTGAGCTTTTTTCCATGGGAAAAGTGTGCTTATTATGCTTTAGCTGAGTATTTTATACAGGTCTACAAACGTACAAATTGCTCGTGGAAAACAGAAGATGCTTCCTTTCCCTGAGAACTTGGAATGTGTGTACTTGCTGCGAGTAATCACGACTTTGCAGAACCATCTTCAGGCTTAGGACTAATGCCAGTCTATCTATTTATATGAGGGCAGTTTTAATTTCTAGATCTTTAATGGAATGATGAGACATCTGCCTGCTTGATGGGTAAAAAAATAGTTCTAGTGTTGCCCCTAGTACTGCAGCCAGTGCTCAAGTCAGAATTTTGAAATTTCTGAGGGTATGCATTGCTCAGAAGATGCCCTGCATTCTGGAAGTGCTTGTGAACAGGACCCACCTGACTCTTTCCAGCTTTTCTTACTAAGATTCTTGACTTGTACTTTCTCTCCTTAGATGCACTGAGCTTAATGACTAACAGGCCACTTTAAATTGTTTAGATGACAGTGATTGAGGTTGTGGTTTGTGTTTTTTTTTTTTTTTTTTTAATCAAATGGGGTAGGTATTTAAAACTCACATAGAAAATAAACTAGAGTTCATGCTTGATTGCTGTCCCTGCAGGAGGACTGTACATCTCGGGTATCTGTATCTGCAGATCTGACTTAAAAAAAAAAATGCCATTCTGTTTTCTTTCAGTGAACTGGAGCGTCTGAGCAACCTAGTTGGTAAACCATCTGAGAACCATCCCCTGCACAATAGTGGACTGTTGAGCCTAGATCCTGTTCAGGACAAAACACCTCTTTACAGCCAACTTCTTCAGGCTTACAAATGGTCAAATAAGGTAACAGAATAAATCCATGTAACTTAGTTGTGTGTTGCTACAGAATGTTTTAATTGTGATACAGTAGACCTCTGAGTGTTTGAGACTGTGAAAATTGCTGAGTTTGTTATCATAAGTACCTAAATGTACTTTTAGGGGTAAAAATGGTGTTTTAATTGAGAGGAGACTTTTCTGTGATACTGAGGTGTACCCTTGTTTTTCAAAGGGAGTGTTAACTCCCAAGCAGAATAATACTTTCCGTGTTAGCTGTTTAGCATCCTAGGTAGATATAAAAGTATATAGTGTCCTTGTATCTGGCAGTAAACACTGTAGCAGAGGGCAGGGGGATATTAGAGTAGAGAATCAAGAACCTATGTCACCTCCAAACCGATTTCCAGGAAAGAAACACACAGGGAGGTTGTCATCACCACAGATCTTGATGTCTTTCCATACCATTTGCTGCTGCTGAAAAACATTTGCACCTGGTCTCAGAAGTAACTTAGTATTTAACAGCTTTGGCATACCTGGTGTTTTCAGAGTGTATATATTGCATTGAGTTTAAAGTAATGTTAAAAAAAAAAAGGGCAAGTAATTGATGCAGTGTTTTACATTTTTAAAAAATTCTTTTCATGACAAATTTTTTTTTCCTTCATCTCTTTCTCATGAGCATAATTCAGTTCCATAAACCTGTACGCCTACTAGATCTAGAGACAGAAATTGGATAGGTATCTTTCCTTCTCTGCTCTGAACATAGCCTGTTTGTGGGTCAAAAATATTCCTTTCCTCACACCTGATTTCATTAAATAGGTAAACATTGCATTATTGCAATTACTGGTCTCTGTCTGAGCCCCATTATGTTTCAGATTGTCTGTTCCCATCCTGAATTTTTTGAGCATGCTTGTTACTTTTTATAGAAATATTTAAATGAATATGTATTTAAAAGCTTTCTTAATTAACTTTGAAATACTAGCGAGCAGTTACAAAATGTAAAAGACGGATTCATTTCTGTTATGAGAATTGTTAATAGTGAGAGATTCCAGAGTTGTAGCTTTTAACAACTTTACACAAGACAGCAGGAGTAAGCTAGAATAATAAATCTGAAAATATTTAGGGCATTAAAAGAAACAATTCCACTTTAAATTATTTATTGCCATACATGAGCAAGGAAGACTTTCAGACTACACAAATACTTCTTAGGCAAATTCTTGTTAGATATTGAGCCAACCTATCTAATATTATTCAGATTTAAAATAGAATACTAGAATAATGTTTGTATGAATACCACAATGTTTGTACAGCCACTTTTCAGAACACAAATATGTGTTAATGTCTTCTAAAATCAGTAGAATTCAGCATTGACAGATATTTGGTATGGTTGGAAAATAGGGGACAGGAAGGATTTTTAAGTAGGTATTTATTAATTGAGAAAATGTTTATACTTGTTTGTGTTTCTTGCTGTTAGCATCCAATTATTGGCACTGAACTAAAAAATTCATTTGCTACTTTCAGAAAAAATAAAACAATCTAACATTTATACGTGGAAACTTCTAAACTTGTAATGCAGTTAAGTCTTCAGTGATTTAATTACTTCTTTAGGTTGTTATCAGAGTAAACTCAACTGGTAATGAAATACCTTTGGCAGAGTTGTTCTAATGGAGTTTTTTATTAACTCAGAGTGTTATGGAGCTTTGAAGAGCAGTTTTTTTGTAATACTGGATTCTGATTTCAGCAAGCAGAAAGTTGGGCATCCTGTGTACTCATACATACAGTTCAGTGCTCCAGGAGAAAAGCGGTTTGGTTTTTTTTTTTTCTTTTATCTCTGTTGTCTTTGACTTCTGTTTTACAGCTAAAATAAGAGATACTTGAGCTTAAATTGTATTTAAATGGCTGCTTTCTACCTGATGGTTCTTCTGAACTTTACTAGCATCCTTTCTGGGATTGGCAATAACCAGCAGGCACGGACAGGTTGCCCCTGTTTTTAACAGCAGATGTGTTGCCTGTGTGAGGGTATTAGCTGCTGGATTTACCATTAGCAGTGAAGACCCTATTGATGCTCGTGTATATCGCTGCTTAATTCTTCATTGCTAAATAGACTTTTTGAATAGGTGTGATCTCATTTTGGCCACCTTCTGTTCTTGTTGTGTGTGTCTGGTGTTTTCTGTTGCTTCGAAGGGAGGATTTAGATGTGGTGATGTGTCAATACACTTTATGTCTCTCCGCATTTAATTTTTAATTTGTGACCCCTTTGTGGCTTGCTTGCTTGTACTTTTGATGAGCTGAGATAAGGGCATTTTCCTCTCTCTTTGATTGTTCATGCATTACCGATGGCATGAATAGCCGCATAGCTGCTAGGGGAGGATAGATGGAGTAGAGTTTTGGGGCTCTAGTGCAATTCAAAAAGG